GCAGGTCATGCCTGCTCATTCTGGAAGCTGCTGGAATAATGAGAGAAGCACTCAGTTAATTTGGTTTGAGCAATGCCAGCACCCCAGGGAGGTGGTGTGGTGGAAAGATGGTAAGTTGTGGGGTCAGGCTGGGCTGTATTCTTGTCTGGACCTACCATCTACCAGCTGCCACTTACCAGCTGGTTGAAGCAAGGTTCATAGGAGCCCCACATGCTAGGTCCCTTTCTCCTGACTATAATTCTTGGCAACTGGAGAAATATGGGGCTTGGTGGAGCAGACTTTGAAAAGAGCATATTTTTCTAGAAAATTTAAATTCAGTAGCTAAGAAAAAGAAATTATATGTAAAAATCAATTCAACTGGTCCCCCAACACAAGACCAAATGAAAGTGGATGCCTGCAGTGTTGGAGCTGATTGGCAGGATAGTCCTAAGGACTTCAACACTCAAATTGGATAGCTCGTCCTTAAGTATTAGTAGGCTTCCTTCCTTTCCTTTTTCCTTGAAACAGGTAATTGGAAGTGGAAAGAAAACAACACTTTGGGCCAGCATGATGCTTGGAGCAAGTGCTCATTCTTTTATGATGACATCAGTATGTTTACTGCATATAAACTACAACCCAGTGACTCTTTATGCCACTGGCAATACAGTGATGAGTAAACAGAGAGGTACTATTTTCAAGAACCTTAGGGGTGTACGTGTATGTGTTTGTGTGATATTATAGACAAATACTAGTAAATACCTGACTGATGACAATGAGGCTGTGACAAAAATATCAAGCTGAGGAAGGGGGTCAGAGAGTTGTGTTTTCAGATGGGTGGTCAGAAAGGGCCTCTCCGTTGAGATAGCCTCAGGCAGAGAATTGGAGGAAGTGCTGGAGGAAGCCACACAGAAAGCAAAGGGAACAATAAGAGCAAAGGCCCCAAATTTTCACTTAATGCTGTTCCCTTCCATCTTTAGATGAGCCTTGCAAATGTATGGACTATGCTTTCCATTTGAGGATGACAATACCGACACTATTTAAGTGACTTTCCCAAAATATAGCTGGAACCTGATGGATCCAGGCTCAAACTTCACTCCTCTAATTCTAGGGAGCGTGCTGTGACCTCAGAGGGTTGTCTGTGCACCTGGAAGTGAGTTATGCTATTGCTGTCACGTTGCAGTGAACAGGGAGGTGGCTACAGTGAGTGAGAGCGAAGAGGAAGCTGAGAGCAGCACCCAGGGCATCTTGCGGCCTCTTCCACCCGTCTCATGGCGCCCATCCTCCATTATCTGCTCACCTGGATCTGGTGCTTGTTTTTGGAAATCATTGTCCAGATCTTAGTAAGTTCATTTTTTCAATTCTTTTCACGTTTGGGGACAAGTCTCCCAGAGGCCAGGTGGAGAGAGAACTGAACCGGGGAGAAAGCCAGCTTCTCACCAGGCCCGTCATGTGTCTGCACAAGCACGTCACCACAGAAGCCAAGTTTTAATTTCCCTGCATGGGTCCCAAACTGTTTTTCCATATTTGTTAGGGAAAACCTTAACCCAGAGAGCTTCATTCTGAGGACACCAAATTAGGCCAAGTTCCTGTTTGTCTCTCTCCTCATTCAGTGATTGTGCCCTATGACCCACTCCAGTTGGCAGCTTGCTTCCTAGGTGTCACTTGGTTGATAAATTCTTTCAGCCTCAGGGAGGAAGCTCATGTGTTTAATAGGCCTGGGAGCTTCACGGTGCCCCTGCAGGTCGCTGGAATCTGTGGCAGATTCCACCAATGGGTATCCAAGACACAGACACATTAACCTCACAGGAGAGCTGGCAGCCAGGGCTGCAGGTGTGTCATTCAGAGACATGAAATGACAGAGGGAGAGGTATCCCTGTGGGGGAAGCTCAGGGTTTTCTGTTTGAATCCCAACTCTGCCACTCACTAGTTCTTTGATCGGATGCGAATTTTTTTCTTTCTCTGAGCTTCAGTGTTTTGTGCATGAAACCCAGCAGCAGTGAAGGATAGGCCATAGGACCAAAGTATGGTTGTGAGGATTAAACCAGATAATCTAAGCCCAGCAGAATCTGGCCATGGGAGGGGCTCAATAAAAAACCCCTCTTCTCTCTTTTTTTTTTGGAGGGAAGCTCATCTGCTTACCACACGTGATCTGAGAGCTCATGTGTGAGGCTGAGTTCATCCTGAAACTCTTGTCCAAAAAGCTCTCCTCATTTTAACTCATGGCTGTTGACTTAAAGGTTCCCTCAGAAATTCATTCCATTGGATTAGGCGTTGCCTTCAATGCAGATCTTTTCTTTGCATTTTGGTTGGGAGGCAGTGGACCTGGGGCTGGAAGGCTCCAGGTAATCTAACGCCTGACTGGTTTTAACCACTCTGCGTTCCTGCCTCTAGTGGACTCACAATCTCTTCTCATGGATTTATCTTCCACACCTCTCTCCCCTGGTTTGCTGGGAGCACCTCATTCCCTTGCTAAACTTGGTTTTGTTGGTTAAAGGTTGCCTTCTTCACTATCCCACACACTGTGATCTGATTGGGAAATTGTTTTTCTTTTTCCTAAAATTAAAAATGCCAAACCCTAGCAAGTTTGGTTCTGTGGATAGAGAGTCAGCCTGCAGACTGAAGGGTCCTGGGTTTGATTCCAGTCAAGGGCATGCACCTCAGTTGTAGGCTCGGTCATACTCGGGAGGCAACCAATTGGTTTGTCTCTCTCACCTCAATGTTTCTCTCTCTGTATCTCTCCCCCGCCCTTCTACTCTGTCTAAAAATCAATGGGAAAAATATCCTCAGGTGAGGATTAAAATAAATAAAAAATAAAACAAAAAAAAATTAAAAATGTCAAGACTGAAATTTGAATTCAGGTTTGTTAGGCTCTAATAATTTTTACGGTTTCCCTAAAAATTATTAAGAAAGGTTCCCTCTGGCTTCAATGTTCCATGATTTCATGGCAATGAAAGCATGAAGATACACAAAGTCAGAAATGAATAACGTCAAAGACTTCAGATTTCTGTACCTGTCTCTACCAGGCCTAAGTCCAGGCCCCCACATAGCCTCAGTGGATGGTCTATGAACACTGGCTTCCTGGCCAAATAATTGCATTGCAGCTCCAAATGCTTCATGGTTCTGGTGGCTCTAGGAAATTTCAGAGCACAATTGCTGCACATCCGCCCGCCCCCCCCACCCCCTCCTTAGCAATTTGGCTTACAATGTTGTAGCCTAGGAACAATGCTCACTCTATGGAGGTGCCCTTCCTCACAGAGACACTCACTATTGCAGAAGCCTGACTTTGTATTATAGACAGTAAATTTTCATAATAAAGTTTTCTGAAATGTTTATTCTTCTTCATGGTCATTAAAAGCATGAGATTCAGAATCAAACACATCTGGGATCAAACCCTGGCTCTGCAACTGACTAGCTAGGCTGCTTCATCCATGTATTGCTATTATTACTCCTAAATATTTTTAAAAATATATTTTACTGCCGAAACTGATTTGGCTCAGTGGATAGAGCGTCGGCCTGCGGACTGAAGGGTCCCAGGTTTGAGTCCGGTCAAGGGCATGTACCTTGGTTGCGGGCACATCCCCAGTAGGAGGTGTGCAAGAGGCAGCTGATCAATGATTCTCTCTCATTGATGTTTCTAACTCTCTATCCTTCTCCCTTCCTCTCTGTAAAAAAAAAAAAAATCAATAAAATATACTAAAAAATATATATTCATCCATGCATTGCTATTATTATTCCTAAATCTTTAAAAAAATATATTTTATTGCTGAAACTGGTTTGGCTCAGTAGATAGAGCGTTGGCCTGCGGACTGAAAAAATATATTTTAAAAATTATATTTTATTGATTTTTTTACAGAGAGGAAGGGAGAGGGAAAGAAAGTTAGAAACATCAGTGAGAGAATCATCGATCAGCTGCCTCTTGCACTCCCCCTACTGGGGATGTGCCTGCCACTGATGTATAGATATATGCCCTTGACCAGAATCAAACCTGGAACACTTCAGTCCACAGGCCAATGCTCTATCTACTGAGCCAAACCAGTTAGGGCTATTCCTAAATATTACCTGTCCTCTCTGCTCTACTTGAGTTTGATAGTTCTGTCTTCACTAGGAAGATTTTTTTCTTCCCTCATTTCTCCAAACTTGTATGCAGTTCCGGTCAACACATGACAGGGCACCTGCTTTGAACCGGGCAGGATACATGGTGGTGCTGAGAGGCTTCCTGGCACAGAGCATCTGTCCCCAAGCATCCAAGACAGGGCCTGGTACAGAGATGGCACCTCCAGCATCCACCATTATACCTGGTACAGAGTAGGTATTGTCTTATAATAGTTTTAGTTCTCTTATCTGTGACTTAGAGAGAGGATGCCAGACCCTGAGGATGTTTGTTTCCTGTCCAGGTAAGTTATATAGGAAAAAACTGCTTTTATTCTTCAACACACACACACACACACACACACACACACACACACACACACAGACAGAGAGAGAAAGAGAGAGAGAGAGAGAGAGAGAGAGAGAGAGAGAGAGAGAGAGAGAGAGAGAGAGAGAGAGAGAGAGGAGTCATATTTTCCTTGCTTCAGTGTGGAGTCCTGGCCAGGTATGTGTGATCAGAAAGCTAAGTTCTTAAGCTCGGTAGTAAACTAGAACAGCCTGAAGTTTCTCAAATGCACAATGTTCTCTCTGGCATCTAAGATTTTATGCTTATTTCATCTCTACATCACTATCTTTATCTCAGTAACTTACAATTATTTTTCTGATTCCAGTTTAGATAACCCTTTCTCCAGGAAGATTTCTCAGATTCCTCAAGACTGGTTGAGCTTCTGGTCTATTTCCTCCCATTATACCCTGTCTTATTGTTATGTAGAACTTTGCACTTTCTTGTAGCCCTAAATGACTATAAATTCTTTGAGGGGATAGTGTCTTAACTTCACTTTCCTCTTCTGAAGTGGAAGATATTTCAGTTCAACATCCTCATAGGTTCTCTCTCAGTTGTCATTATCTACAAGACTATGAGTCTACTGAGCTCCCACTTTCAATATGCAGCCATATACCCCAAATTGGACCCACGTGACAGAGTTTGTCATGGTGGGATTTGCCGGGGTGCATGAAACACGCCTTCTCTTCTTTACACTCTTCCTCATCATGTACCTGTTTACCTTACTGGAGAACTTGGCCATCATCATGGTGGTGATTTTGGACCCTCGGCTCCGGAGACCCATGTACTTCTTTTTGACACACTTGTCCTGCCTTGAAATTGGGTATACCTCAGTCACAGTGCCCAAGATGCTGGCTGGTTTTATTGGAGGAGAAGGGGACAAGAATATCTCCTATGCTGGATGCCTTTCCCAGCTCTTCATCTTCACCTTTCTTGGGGCAACTGAATGTTTCTTACTGGCTGCCATGGCCTATGATCGTTATGTGGCCATTTGTATGCCTCTCCGATATGGGGCCTTGGTGTCCTTGGGCACCTGCATCCGTCTGGCTGGTGCTTGTTGGCTGGTAGGCTTCCTCACACCTATGTTGCCTATCTACCTCATGTCCCAGCTGACATTTTGTGGCTCCAATGTTATCGACCACTTCTTCTGTGATGCCTCACCTTTGCTAGCCTTGTCTTGCTCGGATGTCACCCTGAAGGAGACCACAGACTTCCTGGTCTCTCTGGCGGTGCTCCTGACCTCCTCTGTGGTCATTGCTGTGTCCTACAGCAACATTGTCTGGACGCTGATGCATATCCGCTCTGTGGCTGAGCGCTGGAAGGCCTTCTCCACATGTACAGCTCACCTGACTGTAGTGAGCCTCTTCTATGGCACTCTTTTCTTTATGTATGTCCGAACCAAAGTGGCCTCCTCCATCAACTTCAACAAGGTGGTGTCTGTCTTCTACTCCATTGTCACACCAATGCTCAATCCCCTCATCTACAGTCTTCGAAATAAGGAGGTGAAGGGAGCTCTGAGCAGAGCCATTTCCCTCAAGTCTTGGAAAGGCCAGTGAGGGGGCAGGTAGGGACCAGTTTCCTTGCCCTTTAGAAAGAGGGTGGTGAGGACTATGGAATGCAGCAGAGGTCTGAGTAGTTAAGCATTATGGACTATGTATTAGTTAAAATAAAATGCTAATCTGCTATAATAAAAGAAATCTAACTATAATGTACCTTAAAGAATGAAGGAGATTTTATCTTTCCTACAGGAGTCAAAGTTGAGTGCTCTTGGTTGGTGGGTGACTCTGCTCAACAGCATTTAAGGATCCAAACTCCCTTCATCTTGTGGCCCATGAAACCAATTCAGTTCAACACTTGTTTTTAATGACCTGTGAGCTAAGAATGGTTTTCATACTTTAAAATGGTTGGAAACTACCCTGGCTGATGTGGTTAGAACATTGTCCCATGCACTGAAGGGTCATGGGTTGGATTCTTGGTCAAGGGCTTGTACCTGGGTTGCAGGTCCATGCTGGAGGCAATCAATCAATGTATCTCTCTCACATTTATATTTCTCTCTCCTTTGTCTCTCACCTTCCTTTCTACTCTTTCTGAAAAGCAATGGAAAAAACATCTCAGGTGAGTATTAACAACAATGACAACAACAAAATAAAAGTTTGGGAACCAATCAAAAGTAGAATGATATTTCATTACACATAAACATTTTCTATAGTTAAAAATGTCAGGGTCCATAAACCAAGTTTTATCAGAACACTGTCACACCATATAAGTTGTCTCTGGCCTCGTTTGTGTTACCATGATAGAGTTTAGTTGTTGTGACAAAGACCATTTGCCAACCCCCAACTTAGCACCTTCTTGTAATTCACATTGTCAACACTGGCAGGAAGGGTGAGAATGGAGCATGGAGGAGAGACTTAAGGTTTCTCCATTAGATGTGGCAATTATCACTTCCACACACCTCTGTTGGTAAGAAGTTAGCCACAGGTCACATCTAATTGCAAAGATGGTAAATACAGTCTATAGCTAAACTGCCTGATATCTAACCAGAACTGATTATTGTAGAAAAGAGATTATTGTATATTATTGTTTATTGTACAAATTTTGGTAGACAACCAGCAATTTCCATCACAATGTCCCCAGAATCACAACTGATTTTCCATGTGACCCATGGCATTTATCTGCTTTGTAATGACGTTATCTTATTTGAAATATAGAATGGTCCTTCCTCTGTACCACATGGCTCCTTGAAAATTGTTTTAAAAGCATATCTATGGAAATGTCAGCTCCCTTGGAATAAAATTTAAAAAGACAATTACAAGGGGAAAAAAAAGCAATTGTACTCCCCTTGATACTTCCAGCACTACCTGGTACCTACCATTCACAGTCATGGCAACATTATTGACTGCATTTCCTATGGACAGCTAGAGTTTTAAAAGCTGCTGCTAATAAAAATAAACCATGAAATCATGTCAGGGAAAATGCATGTGTTTTTGTTTTTTTTTGCATACAGAAAATTTCTGAGAATATAACTCCTTCTTTAGGGGTATATTTATTCACAGAGTGAAAAATAGTCTTGGGAGGTGCTAACTATGTTAAGCATAGTCACAACTTCATTGGTATCCAGGAAATGTCACAGGGAGTAATTCCAGAGAGAAACAAGAGTTATTAAGATAGAATTCTATAAGCAGTGCTGTTTATCTTGCTTTACCTATTCTGCATATCAGGATATTGACTTAATTATTAGTAAGGAACAACCTGGTTTCTATCTTGGAGATGGTACTTTGATTTGGGACTTGGTGAGAATGACCACAGATACACTCTGAAATCAGTACTCTACAGTTTGCTGTGTACCATTATCTAAGACCATCAAAGGCTTTGATGTGCGTCTACTTCACTGCGGCCCATCTGGATGGACCTGCTTCTCTGGTGCCATAATCTTTTTATTCCTTGCATCTGTAATTTGGTTACCATTTCTCTTTTCAGGGTTTGTAGTTGTTGTTTAGTCCCTTGCCTTTGAATTTGCACATGCCAACTATTTAGAAGTTTATTTCCAAGGCACAATTATGGAGATTCTGTCTTTGACCCTGGGATGCTACAGCTCTCTGTTTCTCTAAAATGAGTCTTCTTTATCTATAGATTTTCCCCCCTTTTGCTGGCTTCACTGATATTGGTGTAAAAACATTGTCAACCAGCCATGGCAAGGTAGAAGCATTTTAAACCCCTGTCAGCAGGAACTTAGGATGGATCTCAGTATTCAGAAATGTGGATGCCTTGACACCTTGAGACATTCAACTCTGTCCCTTCCCGGAGAGCAGTCCAAGAGGATTATCACTTAATTAATTGATGCCCAGTACTTGTGGGCTTCATTAACATCCCACCTTCTCTTGGGAGTGGTGGGCCTTCATTTAGAGCAGATTTTGTTCTAGTGGTTGCTCAACTGTGCCTCTTAACACCAAAGACAAGCAGCTAACCAGAGTAGGTACAGGTCATTGACTTCTTATAAAAGAGTTTCATATATATATATATATATATATATATATATATATATATATATTGTTTACTACAATCAGGTTGGGAGTATTACCCTGTTTCCCCGAAAATAAGACAATGTCTTATATTAATTTTTGCTCCCAAAGATGCGCTAGGTCTTATTTTCAGGGGATGTCTTATTTTTCCATGAAGAAGAATACAGTACACATTTATTGTTAAATGAAAATAAAGAAAATTTATTACCTGTATATGGTACGGTAGTACGGTAGTTGTCAACGCAAACCAGACAAACTGTGAATCCTACAGTATCAAGAATTTACTCATTTATTCAATGACAATCATGTCATCATCTTCTTGAACATCATCATAACAATCCAATTCCTGAATTTCCTGGTGAATTTCTTGTGACTCCATTTCTTTCAGAATCAGTGGACCAAATCTCTCATGTTTAGCCTAGGGGGGCCTTATTTTCAGGGGGATGCCTTATATTTCAGTCAGAAGGAAACCTGTAAGTAGGTCTTATTTTCGGAGGATGTCTTATTTTCGGGGAAACACGGTAGATCATAAGCTCTTTGCTTGTAAGGATACACGTTAGTCTGTATGAAGGTCCCTCCCAAAACTTATTAAGATAGAATAACTTGAAGCAAGGGTCTCATAAAAATTTCAGTTATTCAGCAATGAATCAAGAGATACAGGAAGGTTGGGTCCCTTTTTGCCTCAGTCACAGCAAAGGAATACCTAGGATGTGCAGGAATAAGCAGATTTTGAATCTTATAGAGGGTGAAGGACAGGGGTTATTAGAATCAGTCAGCAGTATTTGAAAGAGCTGCCCAAAACGCCCTGAGAATCTCTCCTTGGGAGTAGTGAGGGCCGGATGATATGGGATTGATATTAAATTATATGATGGGGCAAAATTGGTAATTTTCTTAGGTGTGATAATGGTATTATAATATTATGGTCATGTAGAGGAATATGCTTAATGACCATGATATTTTAAAAAATGTCATTGAATTATGCACTATTTTAGCTTGTTTATTTTATTTAGTTTTCCCCATCCAGTGTAAGGGATAAATTTCAATGCCTTCCAGTTTGCAAGATTTGTTTTCAATACTTGGAACTTGCTAAACCTTCAAAAGTTGAAGGCTTTTGTGCTCCATTCATTATATGCTTTGATAAAAGATACAAGATTTCTGACTGATTTAAAATGAATACAATAGAAATTTTGAGAACATTTTAGCAAATGAGCCCTATGTTATTGCAGATCACTTAGGCTGATTAAAAGGTAGCACTTCAAAGGCTTACATACTTTTACCATCTTGTGGATAAGAAGCAAGAAAGAAATGTTGAGCTAAATTACCTTTGATGGGACTGAAAAGTCACGTTTCCCAGAGTGAAATGTAAACACACCTGCTATTTTAAGCCACGATCAGCAGGCTCAGTGTTTGAAAGCAAGTGTTGATATACCTACAGCAGATTTGTATCTTCTACTTTTCAAGTCCTCATTTTGACTCCCATAATGGATGATAAAAGCAGACAAACATTTTGTGCAAAATACGTGTTCATCATCAACTTTCTTGAGTAACACACATGTCTATTTTGAGTCTATTGCTACCAAAAATGTTTACTGCAAAAACTCTCAGACTGCTCTATATATTTCTCTATTTTTTGCACATTTTCCATTTATTCCTACGAAACTACAGTGGACAACCTGTTGGCTTCATGTGCTATGAAATGGGTCACAATATACTGGTTGGCACACCAGTAGATGCTGGAATTGATTATTTCTCTCACCATTGATCTAGACTGGATAAACAAACCTTCCCTTATGTTTTCATTCCAGTAGTCTGTTCTCTCTCTTTTTCTCATTCTTTCTCAATTAGTATCACAACTTTAAGCCTAGGTAGATAAGAAACTCAGTTCTAGTCAAGGGGAAATAATTTATCTGTCAGTGTAATTTGGAATGCCATAGTTCAAATGCTGGGTTTTGTTTTTATTATCTTAGCCCTTAAGGCTGAAAGAGTTCAGATATTTTAAAATATATAATTTATAGTCTCTGATTTTTATTGTTTCTTATCAAGAAATTAAAACTATCCAAATGCCTTTAGAAGCAACCACCTACCACACCATCTTGGATTCCTCATTCCTTACCATTTGTTGCGTTACAGAGACCTCATAGTTCCCAAAGCTTTGCTTTTACTGGCCATCACATTTTAAGAGACCGTTGTTCATTATCTATTGGTTGGCCAACCACGATGAACTATGGAATGAAAGAGCAGTAGTCTGCATCCTATATCATAATACTAGGTAGTTCTTACTGATTTAGGCAACATAGCCAATGTTGTGATGATTAATTTTATGTGACAACTTGACTGGGGTGCCAAGATATTTGTGGGTGTGCCTGTGAGGGTGTTTTTGGGTGAGATAACATCCAATTTGGTGAATTGAGTAATGCATCTGGTCCTCCTCAATGTGGGTGAACCTCATCCAATGTATTGAGGGCCTGAATAGAGAAAAAAAAAAGCTCAATGAAGAAGAATTTGCTCTCTCTTCCTGACTGTCTTTGAGCTTGAACATAGGCTTTCTTGTG